AGGGGTTCAGCTTGAAGACGAGGAGAAACACTGAAGTATAGACAAAAAGTGAGAGAGAAAGGCTGAGGGAGAGGGAGAACGAGAGAGAGAGAGAGAGAGAGAGAGCCCTCTCTGTCACTAGTCATTTTCCAGTGTAGCTGCCAACACGCACTTTCAGTGACAGGCTACAAATCCCTGACTCCACCACTGATGACGGCTCCGCAGCAAAGCCTTCCGAGGCCTCAGCCAGCACAACGAACTTCTGTGTCCTCCCCAGAGGAGGCAGGATTCCTCACCCTGCTATGTCAGTCAACTACCTCTGCATCCAAACACTGCGGGTGACTAATCTGCCAATCAGACGCCTCCATTCTAATCAGACACCGTCGTCTTCCAATCAGACGCCTCCATTCTAATCAGACATCTTCATCTGCCAATCAGACACCTTTTTCTAATCATATTCATATAGACCCAACAATTTGACATGAGAACTTACCTCCAAATAGATATTACAGTTATTGGGACCCTGAACTGCACCAGACCATGGAAGCAATGTCTACTTCATAGGTCAGTCACACTAATTTATAGGCCCAACCTCTGCTCTTCATTGTTTTATTGCAGTAATTGTTTGGGTAGTATATCACTGTGTTTGAGGTGTCCTAAAGTCACTGATTAGAATTTATTTGCGCAACATCATGAGTAACTTCCCTCTGTCTCTGTCACCCATCCAGACATTACGGACTTGTATATTTGTGGTTGCTTCCAAGTTTACAGTTATTACACAATGTTGAACTCTGACCCCTCGTGCCTTTTGGTCAGACGTTCAGGTGCGGCCAAACAAAGGGGCTTCCAGCACAAGGACCTCGGCCTCAGGTGTGATGGAGTGGGGCGAAGGAGGCATGAGCAGAAAGGAGAGAGAACGTGAAACTCTGTGACAGAAGACATAATATCCACCTCAAACCTTCATATGACAGAATTGTGCTCCCTTCTCTAATTTAATGCCCCCCCCCCCCCAAATACCCCCGGGTAATTGGCATGGCTAAAGGGTTTGTGAGACAGAATGCACCTCCTTCCACCCACAGCCGCCTGGGTCTCCATGAACTTCATTTCAAAATGAGAGAGATACACAGCAGCAAGTTCTTTCCACTTCGGATCCTTATTGGAAAAATATATTCAAATAACGTCAAGGATAACATGGTTACACCCCTACTCTGCTACTGATCCGGGTGGCACATACTTAACAGCCTCCCGTGTTGTGGTCAATTTATTCACAAGTGCACATAAGTTTGTTTTAGATTTAATTGGCCACTCATGTGACCGTATTCATAATAATTCTGGCATTAAGGGAGTTCTCATTAGAATATTTATTACTTTCTTTCAATTTTGGATAATTTAACGGTTCTGAGGCCTTCACTGCTCATACATCTCCCAGATTGAAACCTTTGTAATAACAGTGGATCACACGTACTGTAGATTCACTGGAATATATCAATCCACATTAATGAGATTGTTCTGCACACCACTTCAGTTCCCCATCGCCTGCTTCCTCCCCTCATTCTGTCTGTCATTATTATTATTTCATAAAAGCCCTGATCTATTTTATGAAAAACCAGCAAACCTTTGTGAAATTCATTAAATCAGCATAAAAAATGTATTATATAAGTAAATTGCACTTGCCATTCCTGTTCGTGCAATTGGCCTTAAAGCAAAGCAGGGCTCTGTGTTGGTTTAACTTTTCCAGTGGGCAAGCTGTCGGCGAGGGTGACGGTGTCCAGGCTTCGGGAGTCTCGCCTGGGCCTGATTTTACAGAGAACCCGCCTGGTTGGGAACTGGACCCCCCCCCCCAGAGGAGCCCAGGTCCACCCAAGAGCCAGTGCATGCCAGCTTTGCCTGAACTGACTGAAGTTTATTCATATTTATAGTGCGTTTGGAGCACAGGTAAGGGCAATCAGAACATCGCAGCTGTGCAGTGCCACTGAGAGGAGTGCTCTCTGCACAGGAGTTTACGATTCTCATAACTGAAGAGATGCTGTGAAGTAAGCAAATATATATAGATATATATTATTGCCAACTTACACATTTTGAATGAAAGCTATCAAGTATCATATTCTCCTTCAAGGCACAACAGCTGAAACCTTTCGGGAACCGAACCTTAAAACGTTCAGCTCTTCATAACCAAACGTCCAGAGTACCACACACCACAGACAAGCGTGTGTTTTGGGCTTTTTTTTTTTTTATCATAAATGCGTACTGTTTTCTAGACTTTGATGAGCAGGACGGGGCAGAAGCGGCCAGGCTGTATGACGGACTTCAGAGGAGCGGGTCGGCCGGATGTGTCATTACGATTAGTGTTCAAATTGGGGGGCGTCAGATGGGTCCGCGCTGCTCCTTTCGGATGAATAATGCATGTGTCGGTCCAGAGGCAGCTGCGCCCGCATGCATACACCAGTGGAGAATTTTGTATATTTAGATATATTTTTGCACCTTAATATTACAATGCAGAGCATTTGTTTACTAAATTTTACTTTTGTTGCCAATGAACGACTCACCCGGAAGAGTCCATACGATTCACAGTGGAGACGTTGACGGCAAAGGAAATTATAAAAAATCGGAAATTTTCGAATGGGCCAGATAAATCACTGTAGAATGAGAACTGAGGGGGAGGGGGTTCAAACATAGGCGATAAATAAAACTAAAAGGACACTGCGGTTTATTTCTAAACACGTGTAAATAATCCCAAGTGGAACACGAGCATAGTTTATGATACCTGTCTCCGGTGTTATATGCTTTTAATCCATTTATGTGTAACTAAACAGACTTCGTGGTAGTTTGAGGTGCACATTAGTTTAAATGCATGCATGGGACTCTAGAAAATAAAATATATTGGGTACAAATCTTCAAATTAATCTGTCACAGTTATTCAAAGGCGGCTACTGAAAGGCATTTGTATATTTACTATAAGTTTGTTTAGAGATGCTTAAGTGGGGCGGGGGGGGAGCATATAATAATAATAATAATAAAGTTCCTCCTTTTGCTCGTTTTTATCAACAAGAAATTTCCAAATCCGGATAATTCCTGGAATTACACTGGGAAAAAAAACAGAATATGTGTTTTGTGATATATTTCTAAGCAATAGTTTAAAAAATCCTGTATCCTCTTAATTCGTATTTGGTTCAAATGTGTACCTCATATAGGAAGTGCGGGTGATTTCTGCAGTTTTATACAGGACTAATTAACTTACATTCACTATGCGCGTCACGATATAAAAACGACCAGTTCAGTTAAAAACGTTGCCATCAAAAACGTCGCCAGCCGCAATTTGTTGTGCTGAATTTAAAATTATAGTTTGTGAAATTTCCGAAGACAAACTGCGAGGGTTTAAATAGGAACCTGACAGCGGGAAATTAGTGCTTTATTTATAAGATACGAGCAGTAAGTAAAATCTTTGTCGTAAATAAGATGTGAGCAGTACAAAAATAGTACGGTCCAGAAGCTTTTGCATTGTTTAATCTTGTCTGTTATTAGCAGGTAGCAGAGTACATTAGGAGGCCATAGGAATGAAAATCGTCTAAGCTATATATAGGCAAATATTTTTGCACATCGTTAATAATCATTAAAAAAATAATAAATAATAATACCAATAATAAAGAAAACTAAAAAAAGCACAGTATTCCACACCATGTTAAAAATCAGTTTCATGGCCGACATATTAAGCTACAGATTAGGCCTACTTTTAAATTTGGTACTTGGGGCAAAAAGACTGTAGTCAATATTTCAGAAATGACGTTTGGGTATGTGTCCCGCATTCCTTGCAGCACCCCTGCTAGCTCAGTCCGAGACTCTCATCCCAACGAGGTCACCACCTCTGTGTTGCACCATGACCGGGAGTGGAAATGCCAACTTCCAAAAGCCAGACACTTGTCAAGGCGCGGTAAGTTACACGGGGATGCGAGATCGGTGTGGTATAGCTTTTGCTATTAACTTTTAATGAGTAACAAGGCGCTCACCATGCGGCTTATCGCTTCCATCTTACTACTTTTATCCGCAGACGGGATTTGTGCCTCCTTCCCGCAGCTCTCTGGCGCCACTCGAAGAGAAACCCCGCAATTGCAGGCGCCTCCCTGAGGACTCGTCTCGCTTTTCATCAAGGGCGAAGGCAATGAAATATACGCCCCATATTCTCCTTGGTGTTAGCTCGAATTCAGACGGGGAGGGGGCACGCTGGAGCTGCGTAGTGTACCTGTTACAGCGTAATTCTGGATGACATGACAACCGGTGAATGGTTATTACAACTTATTTTGCATTCTCAATATTGACATATGGGTTTTAAAATCGACGGTCTAAAGCACTCCTTTGCTAAGAGTTGATTAGTCAAGGTCATAAAAACTGTTATTTATGTGGAAATGGACACGTATTACATCAGACAAATACAGGCTGTTCATCTTCGCGAAAAACAGAGGCTAATCACTAAATAAGTGTCTTCCTTGTCTTTCAAGTGTGCATTAATTCAAACGATTTTTCCCTTAAAGTTTTATATTACTGGACATTAACAAAGAAACTCCAGTAGCTGTGTTTTTTCCACTTAGAATTTCTCCTCGAAGGCAAATTTGCTGTGTAACTCATTCGTTAAACACGAGCAGAGCCATTTGTTAATTGATGCAATTACACGTTACTTGTAATGGCCAGGTTGGTCTCCAGGCAGACATCAATCAGACATCTATTGACCTGCCAAACTCCTTTTCAGCCATTCCTGTTGGGACTCTTTCTGACTCTAATAGGGAAAAATGGGAACATCATCAGCATTAATTTAGGGCCGGACCTCTGGCCGGGACTGTCGACATCGGAAAGGCGTTGGAAAAGTGTCAATCTGGAAAAGCGACCCAAGGGAGTAGAGCAGTGTTTGCTCAACTTATTTTCTGCTTCCCGCTGAATGAAAACAAAGCTGTACCTTTAAGTGTACTTTAACCTGAGTCAGTTAAAGGCAGAATCTGACGTCCCAAAGCGTCTGTCCCTGCAACTGCACCGCTATTAGTAATTTCTTTTAACTGCTTGATACATGCACGGATAAAGGTGTTTTAAAAGGCGTACAGATATGAATCGATGCATAAGGCAGTCTGCATTAAAAACTATTACTACAATAATATAGCATCGATAGAAAACATTCGTTTGATATACACATGATAATTTAAACAAACGATCGTATTTACATGGCAATGCGCGTTCACAGAGAAACTTACACTGTGTTTACCGAACAGTTTCTAGTAGCCGTCGGTATGTTTCCTTAATTCGTACATTTCTATCGGAAAGGAGCGTGTCATATTAAGTTAACGGGATGCGCACCTTAAGGAAGCGCGATGTTAGATGCGATTGGTAAAGACATTATTCTATCCGTGCGGCCGTGCCGTTCCGGGATTACAGTGACGTCACATTGATACCCTTGCATGGATGAATGCTAAAGAACTATAGAGGCACAAATAATAGCACAAGCAGAGTCCATATCTTGCAAGTCTTAGGATATCCTTTAAGCCCTCTTCAGCCAAGGCACAATAATATTTTTTGTGGCTGATGCAGTTTAATATTGTTTGCTACTCTTTTTCTTTGGAGGATTATCTACATACATCTGTGTATGTGAAAACTATTTGCTGCTTTAAACAGCTTCAAGCCTTCTTCTTAAGTGCAGTCATCTATTATTGACAAAAGGCCGTGCGTGGAAATGTCTGTGAGAATGTGCATTTGAAGTGCATTTGGTTATAATCGATCAAAGGGAAGATAATTGCTGATGGTAACAAAAGAAGCAGCCATGTCTTTCTCGCAGTTCGGATATCCTTATAATACAACTTCACAGGTAAGGAAAAATACAATATTGTGTTTTCTGCCATTACACCTGAAGCAGCAAGGTGTTCGGTCTATTACTGAGGATAATTTATATATCTATTATATTCATATTATGTTTTACATAAGTTAACGTTAAAAGTGCATTAAAATGCGGGGCATCTTCAAATATATTTTATTATTGCTAAAACAAGTATGCCAATATTCCGGTGGTTTAAATTTAAAAGATTGCGAGCGGATTATAAAAGTAAAAAATATTTACACTGCTATTAAGGGAACAACTAACTTCAAGCACAATTTGACGTTTAGCCTGTTAGCTGTTGTTGCAGTTATTAACATTGCCTTCGGCGTATTTTGATATATTTAAACACTTTTTGAAATTATGCAGTATAGCGTACAATTGCAAATTCGATTTATCGGACCGGCATATCCAACAATCAATACACTCAATAGTGGAAGTTTACGTGATATATTATTTGAGGGAAACTTTTTTTCAAAGTTGAAACCCTTACTTATGTCAACTCTGTCCGTACATGGCTGTGGCGATGACAAACAATTTCTCTCGTTCTTTAAAACGTATTGCCGTGAAATAAAATGCTCAGTCTTGGTATTTATATTATCTGCATAAATTCACGTCATTCCATCGTTACTCAAGTTATATAACATATTCCATTTAAGATCTGTAATTTCATGTAAAGCATACATAAAAGGCCATGTTGTTTTGCATGTAGTTATGTCTTAAATCTATAACTTGATATATTCTACTGCTCACCTCTTGTGGCCTTTCTCTAAAATATTGTAGAGCCAGATCATTTATGAAGAGAATATAGCCTACAGCCCACACGACTGACATGTGTATCAAAATTCTCTTTACGCAGTTTTTCGTGTCGGCAAACCCCAGTACGACTTGCTGCGATTCGATTTCCAGGTCGGTCTCTGATGGGTCCGGCGGTTCCCAGACTGCAGCTGCGTTTTGCTGCCCTCCTTACGAGAACCGACTGCTGGCGAGCACACGGGGCGAGCTGAACGCGGCTCTCGGGATGTACGGCTCGCCTTACGCGGCAGCAGGCGGTCAGAACTACGCCAACTACTTCCCATACAGCACAGACCCCTCGGCGCTCTACTCCACGCTGGTAAGTGCGCACTTTCGTCTGACTCATCGATCCTTTTCGACGTGCTTATCGATTCTCATTGTTTTAATAATGTTTCTGCCTCTATCTTGAGCTTTAACTACTGTTACTTGTTTAACAAGTACAGAAGCTTTTTTAACGCGGTGAATAACATTTCTTGGATTAATGGTTTAACTAGGTTGACTGTATTATGCAGCTGTTAAATTGGGGAAAATATGATGATTAGAAAGAATTAGCTTCCTATTTTAATATGTGACTATATTTCATGGTAAAATTTTAAAAGCTACAATTGCGGCAATTGTAACACTTTCCATCGCGCACTGAGACGTTACTGTAACAATATATAACCTTGTCTGTAATGCATTTGAAGTTAAATGGTTTAGCATTTAAAGAGTGACACACATACCTGCAGTTTACCTTTGAATTGTGACAGCTCTTACGGTCTTAGACCCCACAGTACGACATCAAGGATGGCGCTGGGAATTTGCACTCGTCCATCACCCAATCGGCTGCCTATTATCCCTACGATCACTCTCTAGGGCAGTACCAGTATGACAGGTACAAACGTATCATTCTTATCTTAATTACAACTGTCCTGTTAATTGTAACAGTATCCAGCTATAAAACTATGCCAGAAAACTAAAGAATGCTTTCCAAAGAAATTATATAGTTTTGCATTAAACATTTCTAAGAATATCAATACTTCTTGTGTTTGTTTTTACAATGCACAGCTTTTGGAAGTAGTATTGTGACGTAACTGCACAGGATACACATATGATGTGGTTGTTCTGTGATTAAAGCTGATGGCTTCCATCTGCGATTGAAATGGCAGGTACGGAACCGTAGACTTCAACGGATCGTCGAGGAGGAAGAACGCCACGAGGGAGACCACCAGCACCCTAAAAACCTGGCTTTACGAGCACCGCAAGAACCCGTACCCCACCAAGGGGGAGAAAATCATGCTGGCCATCATCACCAAAATGACCCTCACCCAAGTGTCCACCTGGTTCGCCAACGCCAGGAGAAGGCTAAAGAAGGAGAACAAGATGACCTGGGCGCCCAAGAATAAAGCTGGGGAGGACAAAAAAGATGACCTTGAGAAAAGCGAGCAGGAGTGTGTCAGCAAAGGTGAGCATCTCTGCTTCCTGCATATATCCGTCAGGATTTGCTTACAGAGGAGTAATAATAATATTAGTAATAAATAATGCAATAAAATCTTGTATTTTAGTGACGAACAGCCACCCAGTCAGTGTTTACAGTTAATAATCAGAACCCAAAACCCATTCAATACACAGGTGGTTTATGTCTCAGCCCATGCTGTAACCTGCTTGGTAGCCAAAGGCTACATTAAATGCAGAGGCTCCCAGCAGCTTCTCTTTGTGATGCTCTGGCAAACAGCCTTTTCTTCAGTCTATGCCTTTATTTACGCCTAGACTCCAAGGTGTGTAAGGACGACAAGGGCCTGCGGTTGAGTGACTTAGAAGACATGGACGATGAGGACTGCGACAAGCTCGGTGATGACTGTGAGAAAGGCTCCCGTGAACAGCAAGACCTTAACTCCAGTTTGCCTGGGGAGCCCGCAAAGAGGGACTATGGCAGCACCCTGACTTTCCCCAGCTGCTTCCACACGTTCGGCAGCAATAACAAGGGCGCGGCGGCAACAGCGTCCGACTTCCTGGGCCCCTGTGTAGGCAAAGTGCCGGCTGCGGCCCTGCCGCTGTTTCAGGCAGCGGGGAAGTCCCTCATCTGGTCACCGGCGCGGACCGCAGACGTTAGCGTACCACCAGGTGCCTCGCATGACGGTGAACTCATAACCGAGGCTCTCGGGATGGACTGCCGGCTCCAGACAGCCAGGCCCCCTGCATCCAGTGCTGGCCAGTGTGGGGACACGGCCGGTCAGCGGGAACCCGTGACTGTAGCCCCCGCAGCAAGCTCGTTCCACGAGGGACCATCCTCCCACAGCAAAAGCTACGGCCACTCCAGCTTTAACCAGAAGAGCCTGCACAGCAGATCCTACTCCCTGCTCCCGGACACATGCCAGTACCTGTCAATGGAAGGAGCCCCAAGAGCACTGACTCGCTAGCCAGAATCCACACCGGGAGCCCTAACCACACGCATCTGCTCTGTCTGCTCTTCTTACATTTAACAGATGCAAATATTTGCTCTGCTTACACTTTCTGATTGCCGACTCCTGCAACATCTCATGCAGAAAACCTGTATTGTGTTTCTATAGGACATGATTTGAGTTTTTCCCCCTATGCTAATATTTTGAAACTTATTGTGTTGGACCCACTTAATCTGAAAAGATAGGATGTATATTATTGGCACACGCATATAAACTTTGTTATTCAGTTACATGATTTTTCCTTAATAACATTTCACACAACATTTTTATTTGATTTACTGTGGTGAATCAAATGACCATTAAAAAAAAATGTTTATTATGTGATTATTCCGAAGTATTCGAACCATCGCTATATCTGCCCTTGTGTCAACTATACAAATATAATCAAGCAGATACCTGCACGCGCAGGCAAATCCACACACTGATTTCGCTTTTTATTTACTACTGATTTTACTGCAGTTACTTATTCGTAACCCATCAAGCAGGCAGAATTGTTTGATTAAATTTTCTGCATTTGAAGTTCAACGTTGACAAAACCTTTCCTTCATCGCTTCTCGTATATTAAGATAAATCCAAAATATTTCGCAAGCACTAAGCTTTTGAAGGATTGCTTACACCTTGAAATACATTAAAAGTTGAAGTTTAAAACTTTATTTAAAGACACAGACCCACAATATGCCCTAAAATCAAATGACTGCTTCCGGTTTCCAGGAAAGTCCATTAAATGCAATTTAAAAACGGGGTCGAGGTAAATTACAGAAAAACACAATCATACTTATGCATATCCTGTATTTAATTTAATAGAATAACTGATCTGCTTCCAGGGCCTGCAGTTTCAAATTCGCAATTGCTGCTGTATCTTTATATATATAATATGTGACTTTTTCCTTTACTCTGTTGGCCAACGTGCAGTTTTCAAACGGTGGGACACCAATACAAATTATGCACTGTGGACCGGCGATTTAGAAACGATCTTCCAAGCCGTCAGCTGTGAACAGTTTAAACATTTTGAACGCTGTCAGTGTTAGACGTTTTTTGCGACTGTAGAGGCAGCCCCGACTTTTGCACAATGTTGTTTTTACGGTCATGTGGACTATGTGAAAGATATATATTTAAAAAACGACTGATGTATGCACTTGGCAATCGTAGTCGGGCAATTTGAACAATTAATTTATTTAATTTATGAACCATTTTGTAATGTGTTTTAAGTTGTTAAATTTTGCATCGTTTCGAAGTTGCTTACATGTGATAAGTGTAATTTGTTTCAATTTGATTGTTAGCTTATAATGCAGGTACTTTTGTTTGTTGTTTGTTGCATATGGAATGGTATACTGTACTATATTGCCTGTCAGTGTATAAAATAATATCTGTGTTTATTTTGGTTGTGGGAAAGCATTTTGGCCATGTCGGAAATTTTTTTATAACAATGCATTTTACAAGACACAAGCTTCTGGGTCGTGATTTCAGGGTTCACGTCGTATTAAAGGATTGAAAGTTTTCCTTGATCAAAGTTCGTTGTCAGGCGGCTCAAAAACTAGAACATTGCGGGAAGGTCATAATCCAGTCAGAGGCATGAATGCGCTTTACATGGCCGGACAGAAAGGAAACATCATCTCGTCATTGTTTATATTTAATTGGAAGTGACATCAAACATTTTGTTACTGTTCGGGCTAACAACGTAGCAAGAATACGGGATGAATGCATCTTTGTGCCCGTTGCAGGGGGACCCGTTGCAGTAATTTAATAATTGTGGCAACCAGGAGGTCGCTTATAGATCAACCCGATAAGAACAATTCTCATGGTTCACCGGGGCCACCATTTATTTTAACTGTTTTGTGGTTGATCTGTCAAATGACTCCTTAAAGCCCGCCAATTGGGGAATACTTTTTGCAAAATACTAATAGGCAGGCAAAATATGCTAAATAGCTATGCGAAAAAGCATGAAAACTTATTGCCTCAAAAAGGGTTAAGAAAACTGTATGTAATGGTCCCTGAAAATTGCACGGGGGTATGCTATCCCTGATAGTTCGCGAATTTTGTCTAACATCATTTTGATTTTCCTTTAATGTGAGCTAGTTTTGATACAATCTTTATTTAAGAATTACATAACGTATAATTAAGATATTTAATTGCATGCATTTTTAGATGTTGCCATTTCCGGTATAAATTTTTAAGTTCAGATGAATTATTCCGCCGATTTTCTTAAATGAGGCCGTTTTATTGATTTACTTTTATTTATCGACACTGTCGATTCGACAGAACCTATAGTGTGTGAGTAAGGGACCAAGTGTTAGTGCACTGAAGGAATTATATAAACATTAGATCCCTCTGAAGAAACTTCATTCCTGCGTAATAAAGAGAATCTTGGAGTCCACCGCGAATGACCCTCGGCTTACACGCGCTCAAATTAAACTATGAGAAGATAAACATTATTTCAGGTCGGATTTTTGAGATTAGTGTTTGTAATAAAGGGCATTAGGTCTATTTGAAGGCGTTATCCGCTTTCTAACTTGTGCCACTGGCCTTTTGAGACACGTAACACAGACATCTGTCGCACCGAAGTTCTTCTGACTATTCAGGAAAGCAGAAAATTGCACCGAGGACTCCCGAACGATTTATATACGCTAACTGTAGCAAATATTTTCAGTTTGTTTTCCGAAGCTGTTTTCTACAGTGTAAGTATCTATTTTCTTTTCCCAGTTCTTTTAACTTAGCTGTAATGATACCACGTGACCGTTATAAATTAAGGTTAGTGACTGCTGACGCAATAAAAATATGTTCTGCAATATAGAAATAAATAACTTTGCAGGGCTGCAAATTGAAAATATGTCATTGCGTCTTTCCATTGTACTATTTGTGTATCAATTCCATTTTTTATAACTTTTAATGTTAAATGGTAAGTTTTGGATCTCTGGCATGCTCTTACAAAGCAACCCAGTTAAAAGTTAAAAACCAGAAATAATAAACTATTGAACCTGTAGAACCTACTCTATATTCAGCTGATGTAATACTTATATTGTCCTGGATACACATAACCATTATTTTACTGTTGTACATTATTTACTGTGTATTTGAACGAGATGTATGTGTGTATGGTCTGGGCAGTGGTTGGCTATGCCTCATTTTTGGGCAAGAGACATGACTTTCTACCTTCCCGAGTGAAAGCAACGCTGGGGTGAGTTCTGCTGGGTTTTTTTTCTGGGGGGTCAGTTCACCATGATTCAAGATTATCCAGCCAGACCAGCATTGTTCCACAATCTGCCATGTCGGCGAGATCTGTATCGCAAATCGCCCTAAATATAATCTTCTGGAATCATATTCAGAATACTGTTTTGATTAAAACTCGAAGACGGACACAACGGTCAATGACATGGAAAAGAATTTAAGGCCACAGCATTAGCATGTAATGAAAACGGGTCGCTTTGACTCACAAATCCACTGCACAGGACTGGCATTGCCAGTGGTGTTGACTGACGTTACTGATATCCCTGAACATTTGTAATTAAGCAGTTACTGTCACCTTTTATACATGGATGCATATGGCACGAGTTAAATACAAAAGAGCCAAGACATCGTTTACAGCTGTTGAGTTACAGCAAGTCTCCGCGTTCAGTATGTTTAATTTTGGTTACTGAAATTGTGCCTTGTGGTCAGGAAGGAGCCTACCGCCCAAGCCCTACTCGCGAACATGAAGATGTTTGGAGGTATATTAAATATTTAGACGGGGGTTAATTAAAGCTGGAGCGGCAGGCAGAAGCAGCCAAACATTATTGAAGGTAATGATGCATACAGAATGGGATTACCACGGTAACACGATACCTGAGGGGACAGCGAGCAGTGGAAGGGAACAGCGGTGCTTCTCGGGACTCCTCTCCAGCCCGTCTGTTTGATGGCCGATAGACAGTATGAACTTTGAGGGCCGCTGTGTTTACGAAGAACCTTCCTGTTTGAGTTCTGACTGCAATGGAATCACACGGCTGCGCCAAGATCGGACCCAAGGAGATCGGCCCGTTTACCTGCAGCGGTGCGGATACAGTGATGCACATTACAATTGTTATTCTCGGAATACGGACGGCTCACGGCGGTGTAGAATGTACTGATGTTTGACATATATTTCAGGCCTAGAAAGAACATGCTGTTTAATTAAACTTGAGTCTGACACTTTAAATGTGGAGAGTATAAAACTTTTAAACTCAGAAATGTATTTCTGTCACAACCAGTCACATACACACAAAATCAGTATCATCATAATTACCGATCCCTTCTCTTGCTTTATTATTTTTAATATGTATTTGGAATGGGGGCCACCGGACACTTAATCCCAAACACCCCTTGGATAAGGCTTCTGCGAAAAAGAAAAAAAAAAACATTAAGAAACATAAAACTACACATGCACCGTGAGTAAGCAAGTTAGGAAGCGGTAGGTCTGAGTGCTCTGTAAACAGGCTGATAGAAACGGCAACTTTATCTAGACCTCAGCGATATAAAAAGCAGTCACTTGAACCAAACTGAGCCCTCATTAGGCCAAGTTACCGGCTGGTGTCAAGTGGGATGCAGCCACCGCAGGCTTAGCCGAGCACACGCTGGCGGACCAGATTAGGCCCAGCGCAGATCCACAAGTGTGCAATCGGCCTCCCGCTGTCAGGCTTTCCCAGCCAGGCCGAGGCTGTTAGCAGTTTGCCCTTTCTGAGCATGGGGCCCCTTTAAAGCCAAACAGCCTTACATTCAGCAGTCTGCCCCACATTGGAAGGGCACACTTCACACTTAATAGTGCTACATACACACCAAAGCCTGTCTGTCATTCAGACAAAGGAGAACCCAATTAAATTTACGCTTAAAATCAAAAACTTGGAACAAAAAACAATCTAAAGAACAACATACGTTGAATTTTACAGTCATCAGATTTATTTTTTCCTAGAATAGTTAATTTTTTTCCTTATTATCATTCCATATTATGTCATCATCCTGCTGTGGGTAGCTCTGCCTCTTCCGTTCTCTTTGTGTGTGTGTGGTGTGGGGGGGTTGAATATTCCCCCCATGTCATGAAAGGTTCCTCTAGGTACTCCAGTTGTCTTCCTGCAGCCCAGAAACATGCAGTAAGGCTAAGCGGTGTCACTGAATTGCCCATAGATTCTGATTGCGCGTGTGAGAGACTGCATGTTTGTGCCCAGTGATGGACTGGCATCCCCTAGCGGATGTATACCAGGCTTGTGCCCCGCACTGCCATAGGATGCAGGTGACCCTGACTAGGAAGAGAGGCTAAAAAATTACTGACGGACGGACAGACAGACATAGATTCTTCAATTAAAAAAAACAACCTCATATTTCAGCACAGCTATGCGATTTGAAGATTAAAAGAAAGCTGGAAAGGGGAGACATTGGTTTTATACCAGAAACTATGTGACATGGGACACTTTTGCTTGTTAAAAAGCATTTTCAGTGTTATATGTTACTACGAGGTAAGGCAGAGTGAGCAGTGTTACCGTGGCGATTTAAGAAAGGCAGGAAAAATCAATCATCCAATTTACCCAGTCAGGGGAAGTTTTATTTCAAACCAAAAGTAACATTGGCAGTTACACTATAACGGTATTATGTCTTTTCAGTGTTTGTTTCTTCCTTTTGTTACCAAACCATCACAGAAATAGGTTTTGTCAACTTTACATTATTACTGTTACTTTTTCCATTGTAGTAACTTACTCAGATGGGCGGAAGCAATATGAAGCTTTAAATCAAATGATATAAATGTTTCCCTGCAAGGTAACGAAGCACAAAACAAATTTGCTTAACACCTTTTCTCCTCACCCACACAAGCCATGGAAGGAGATGTCAATGACAGAATGACAACTATTCCTGATAATGCTGTCCTGTGACATCACAATGGGGTGTTAGCTCACAGAATCCGAGTGTGACATCAACTGTATGCCACTGGAAGCAGTACCTAATTAATGCCAATATGAGCCACAGCAACAGCAAAGTAAATGGCAGTGTTTGACAAATGAGCCAAGATGGAGGTGCTATTTGAAGTGTCCTACACTGTTCACAGCTCAAAAGATGGCGGGGGCGGGGGGGGCACTCATACACTTCATTGCATGCCGTCAAAGAACGCAGTGAGATTTAGGCTGGATATTGTTCCCGGGGCATGCCTCGCTCCCGCTCGCTCATGTCCTCACAAGGCCCTGCTAATGAATTTTGGCGAAGATAATGACAGGCCAAAGACAGAGGCCAGAGCGCTGATGAAAACCGCCATTGTGTGTGGGGGCAGAGGCAGCGTGGTGAACTCCTGGACTTCCTGTGGCCTTTCCATGAACCGTGGCACCCTTTACCCCCCAGTCAGGGCTCCTGGGTGTCCCGCCCTCACCAGTATTCCACCAGGATCCCTGGCATCCAATCATTAGCT